CCATCCCGCCATACATACTTAATTCTGCAGGTGCTGTTGAGGTAACTCCGATCGAGGTATTGACTGAACAGAGGCAGCCGTTCTCAAAAATACTTGTTGTTTTGTTTTTTTTAAACACAGATTCGAGAAAGATCTTCACACCATGATTGGACGCAAGCCAAACTGGTATTGGAAAATTATGTGGGCTTTTGCTAGTCCCTTGCTAATTATAAGCCTGTTTATATTTTACCTCACTGACTATATCCTCACGGGAAAGCTGCAATACCAAGCATGGGATGCCACACAGGTAAAGGAGTTTTGGTTTTGGGTGGTTTTTCTAAACTTTCCTTAATTCCTGCCAGGACGCAGCCTTCCTTCCTAACCACACTGCTCCACAAAACGGCCTTCTGAAGGCTTGCAGCCAGGGCCATCCCTTCATTTGTGGAAACGGAGAACAGGGAAAACTTGACCTACTGACACTGATGCAATGGTTTTGTACAACAGACTGATTTCCCTCCGCAGTTCTTAACCAACCCCTTCAAACAGTTTTCATGTTGAAGACCCAAAGATTATCTTAAGAAGTACACTTTAAATGGAAAAAATACTTTCAAAGTGTAGTATTTTGAACAAATTAGTGGTATTTGGACAGAACCGAGCTGCTGCTGGAATGAAGTTTTTTGTAATTTCCATACACGTTTTTCTTCACAGCCAGAACACTTTTGGCCGAATGCTGAGCTGTGTATTTATCACAGAGCAATTACTGTCGGGTAAGCGGTCGCTGCTTTCACAACCTTTTGTGGAAACGTTCCCAGCAGGCGCAAACGCCTTGCACACACTTGTTTTCATGTCACCACGGATTTGGGACCCACCGGCGGGCCTGGCCTGTTGACTGGGTGTCAGCATGAGCCCACAGGCGCCAGCAGAGGGGCGCAGAGACCTGACAGAGGTCAGGGCCTGGCCACCTCATTAAGAAACGCGAATCGAGCCAAAACCTGCTCTGTACCCGAGCTCGCAGCAGCTCTCCCTGGTATTTTTGTCAGCAGCTCTGTTCTTCTTGTCAGCTTTCAGTTCCCATGGCTGGACAAAGCAAAGCGCTGAGAGCAGACGTGGGCTGCTACAGCCTGCCCGTGCTTCTCGGGTGTCCTGTTCAGACACAGACACACAGCCCTGCTGCAGGCCCGACGCCGGGGCACCCAAACCCCCGGATGCCACAGATCCAACGCTTCTCCTCTCCCTTGCAGGGGCAGCTGGTGACCATGGATTACCCAGGCTACGCCCTCGCGGTGATCGGGCTGCTGGTGGTGGCGTCCACCATGTGCATCCCCCTGGGGGCACTGCTAACTTTTGTGAGGAAGAGACTGAAGAGGGAAAGCGTTTCAACCACTGCGTGAGCCCGACAGCTGGATTTGGGAAGGCTTTACCCCCGCTGCCAGTGACTGGGCACTTCTGGGAGAGAGCAGCAACCCATTATCTGTAGCAGCTATTTATAGAGAGAGAATCGTGGGTGCTGCATTGACCAAAAAGTGCTCTTAGGAGGTTCCACAACGGTTTGGAAAAAAAAGCTTTTCTGTAACAAGATGACGCTTTAAAATGGCCTCTGTACAAGAGGGGAAAAACGAGAACGCAGCCCACGAAATCCTAGCTAGCAAAACCAGCGTGCCAACCCGTTACACGATGTCAGGCAATTCTTTTCCACTCTGTTGTAGCACTGCCTACGTGGAAACACGAGCAACCAACTAAGCATGCTCCCGCACCAAAGTGCCGGCAAACACCCTTACGGGTCGAGGAAGCCACGCACGTTATTTGAAGTGACAGCTGTATTGCACCAGCAGATGAAACCGCCGGAGTCTTGCAACGCGAATGCAACAATCCCTGGGAAGTCAGTAGGATGGTATTCGAGATGAATGCAGCCAACACTGCTTCTTTTAGATTTGTGTCTGCCAAAGCAGTTTTTATATATATATATACACATATGTATATATGAGCTGCAGAAGGTGTCTCGCCTCCAGAAGAAGTAAATTTCCAATTCCAGTATGTAACTGCGCACTGTGCTGTACTTTGTATCTTCTAGGGATGCACTTTATCGCAGAGATCTTCCAGTGTACTTCAAGCTGCTTTACAAGCCCCACCCAAACAAAAGTATGCCACATAATTAGCTTTGACAAAGTTCATATCCAGGTATACTTTAATCATGAGATGCAATGATCCAGCAGTTCCCCAGAGCTGGTTAACTTCCCTATGTGAAAGTTATATAAAGAAACCAACGTTTAAATTGTAAGCTTCATGTAACACAACAGTAAAATTATATCTATGAACTTTAAAGAGGTCACTCCACAGAACATTAGAGACACGCCCATGGGATGTGGGTTCTTAATACAGTGTCTTAACTATGTAACCATTAGCAGATGGCCAAGTGCCTTATAAAAGAGGGAATGATTACAAACAAACATTGTTAAAGCACACCAACACAAGTCTCCTGCCCTGGGGCAAAAAGCAAGAGGCAGTTGTACAGCCTTCGGGGCGGGAGAAACTGTGACAATGACAACCAACACCAACAAGACACACGTAGTCTGCAACAGCCTCCAGAAACAGGACATGCCTCCCTCCCCAGACTTCACTAACAAAGGAAAGACAAGTTTTTCACATTTCCGTTTATTAAAAATGGATACCATAAACAAGACCTGTACAAAAAAATATCCAAGATCATCCAGAATTTGGTAACAGTTGTGTGGTGAGAAGTTATCGTCTTGGGCCCCCTCTTCCTCTTCCACGACCTCGGCCTCTGCCACGGCCTCTGCCACGGCCTCTTCCAGCAACTTTGCAGAAGAAACAAAAAGGATAAAGCAAGTGAGACTGGGGAGTACTTTCATCTTGATGAAAACATTCTGTATCAAGCATAAACAACATGACGTCTCATCACAGGGAAGCACTAAGTCAGATATTAGGTCTGTTAAAGTTTCAGACAATATTTTCACCTTTTGAGTTAGGTTTTTCAGCATTCAACTTCCACAGACCACCCTGTCTGTGGCTTCACCGCAGCAACCAGGGGAGATAACAGCTGGCTGCTCCCAAACGCTAGGGTGAGGTCTGACAGAGAACTACAATTCCCCTTCTTTTTTTCTGATAAAATCTAGTATTTTAGGCATCAGAAAAAAGCATATGCAAGACAACAGTACTTTGTTACTATTGATTACAGTGGAAAAGATTTTTTGTTTTTGGCCACAGCTCTCCACGTGGTTTATAAAGTACGCTGCTAAAGGGAAATGTGAGCTTTAACACGCCATGAGATTTTCCAAGTTCAGCCTTTCTGAGGCATCACCTGAAAGGGCAGCATTTGAAAGGATCCCACCACCAAACAACTTCTGCTTTTTTCAATGATGTCTCTGCCAAGTTCAGATGTGACTCTCAGGCCAATGTCTTGCCTGTGTGCTCCTACTTTTTAATACTGCTATTAAACGGTAAAGCGAAGACAGAATCACAGAATAATTCGTGCTACAAGCAACTGCTGGAGATCCTATAACCTGCCTGGTGATAACATGTCATTTCATCCCTTCTTCCTAAACACAGCCTGTCCCATCCGGTTGCAAGGCCACCCTACAAACTTTGGAAATTACCAGTTAATTTCAAACCTGTTTGTCAGTGCAGGGCTCAAAATGATGCTTAAAATGCTGTGGAAGTGAGTGGCTGGGCAAGAGACACACACTAGCACCCACATGCAAGAAAGAGGCTTTAACCATTATTCCGATCCATCTGACGGTACGTAGGTTAGAAATGCAGCAAAGACAGAAAGAGCAGAGGAACAGGACAAATTTGTGGGAAGCAAGGCATCATTTGTGTTGCTGGTAATAGACTCGAGTCTGCAAAATACAGGGCAGCACCAGCACCCAACTGAACGATCACAGCAGCTACGTGCATCAGCAGACACACGTGTTCACTAAGCGCCAGCACACCCAGACCCCAGGCCCACGTGCGACGCCCGCCCCTCAGCCAGCACCCTGCCTGCCACCGACCATGTCATTAGCCAAGGACAGACCGTCTGTTATACGCTTGTGAAGCCCAACGGCGTTCACAGATTGAGACAAAGCACTGCACAACGCAGCTGCGGTTTGAGAGTGCTTCAGCAGACTGAAGATGCGAGGAGTACTAAACTGAGGTAAACAGTGCTTCTCTTTCTTCAAAGTTCAAAAGAAACAGTGATGTTCGCATCTCACCGTGAGGTTCAGGGAAAAAGCAATCCAACCACACTTGTTTCTCCATGTAGTCAGGTTATTATTAACGGACGTGCAAGGAGAAAAACACTTTTAGGGGCTTTATCCTTACTCTCTATAAAGAGAGCGGCCACACCACTTGCACTTTGTGATGCACACACCTGAGGGTTCCTTATACCATTCCAATACGGTAAGCACACCAACTCCTAACACTGGTCTGGATCAAAGAGTACAGATCCAAACACTTAAACACTCATTACAGGAAAAGTGGTACAACGTTGTTCTAGAGTACAATTAGCCTTCACTTACAACTTACTGTTTTAAGAACACACAGGTTAACTGCTGGGCAAAATATATACTGCTCGAAGACAACCTACAGACTTTCTGGGGTTTACTGAATATTAATCTTTCATAGTGTGGAATAAAACTGAATTACTCTCTATACTGTTAGGCTTCTAGGGAAAAGGCTTTTGTTCAATAGCGTTTTGACAAAAAAGTTTCCAGGAAGGGCACAGAGTGGAACACTAAGGCGAGCCAAAGCTAGAGAGCTGCTCATCGGAATACAGCCTGGACTCCCTCAGAGTCTCAAGTCTCTCAAACTCAGTTCTCACATTATTTTATCCACTACCAAGTGAGATTTCAGTGAAGCATTCAGCACTGTTCAAGAGGCTGTTCTGTACTTTCTTCTTAGGCTACGTTAAGTTCCCCACACTGACTGGGGAAACACAGCAGACATTTGGAGAAGAGGAAATGTAAATCTCTTTGCTGTCAACTCTGAGACTGTAATAGGCTAAGATTCACTCAAGTTTATAAACATTTATGTTTTTAAAAACAGATGTATGAAAAGCCATACATGTAATTCCACAAGAAAGCAAGCTCTACAGATGCTAAGAAGGTGGGCAAGGCAGACTTGGCCAGTTCAGTATCAAACCCTCAATGATGAGAGAACTAGCAGCCAAATGCAAATATTAAGACACTCAAATCAGATGTCTTCAGATTCTACTCTAGAATGCATGCAAAGGCAGAACAAGCACAGACTGGGAAAGCACAAACTAACCTGCTTCTCTTTTCTTGGATTTGACTTTCGGTTCCACATCCACCAGCAAAGTATCCAGAGGCAAACTGTCCGGCAGAATGAAGTATCGGATGTTATTCCCTCGAATACTCAGCGTCTCCAGCTGTACAGGTTCTCTGTTCTTCAGTGTCATTTTCACTGCTTTGAGATGCGTATTCATACTGACATCCACTCCTGAAACAACACAAATCTAATTTCAGGGACGAACGCCTTCCCATACAGTCCCTTGTTGGCTATTGTTAAGAATGTACATGCTTTGAGATTTATCCTGTTCATGAAGGAAACTACACGTCTTTTTCTGTCTTAAATTATGCTCGCTAATGTATCAACTGCTGCCTTTAACACCTTCTCTCTAGAGATCTTTATCTAGGTCCTGGCATAGCAATTTTGTAAATGGTTAAAACAATTCCTCTGAACAACAAATAAACTGCCACTTATTACAGAAGTCTAATTAATATTATTTCTACTCCTTTAAAAAGAGGCAAAACAAACCTTCGAGGAGGAAAAATAACCTGATCTTTTCCTTTTTCTGTAAGCCTTAGAAAAATCCAGCTGCCAAAGCAGCATTTATCTTCTGATACAATACTTCTAATACTAGTGTGGTATCTTCTATGACAGTATGTAAAATACACTACTGTAAGGAACAATCATTATGGTTACAAATTACGTGGACAATCAGTATGTAAGAACTGCATGGAATCAGTCCTGTGCCCACTACACTGTGTAACGTATAATCCAAAACTGGAAAAAAGTCTCAGTTGGATGCATATGTTGAATAACAGCCCTCAAAAGCATTAAAAAAAAAAACGCGCCCTATTTTCATTTTGCACATCACAAGCCTTGCGTGGGATTTGATCTCAAACTATGAAGAGCAAAATGGAAGTAACTTTTTCAGATAAAAACTTTTGGCAAAAGATGGAAATTGCAGTTTATAAACATCTGCTAAATCTGTGACAGGGCACCCACACGAGCAAAATTTTTCGTTTTCACACTTCTGAAGAAAAAAAACCCTTTGTGGTAAAAATAATTATTGTCTCATTTCATAGACACAGAAAGGCAAACTGTCAGATGCCTTACCAAGCTAAGTAACATGAGTAGCAGGCCAGAACTGGAAGAACCATCGTGCTGTGCTTATTCCATGTAGTTTTTTCTCTCCTCTCCCCTTACTTCTAGATTTTACCCAGCTTTCTGGCACCTGCGCTCCACCTGACCAGCCCCTCGGTTTGTGTATGGCATGCAAGGCACGAAACCTGCCCCTTCCGCCTGCCTGCTCTGGCCAGCCGGCTCACTGAGAGGAAGAGGAGATGGTACAACCTGCAGACAGCGACTACAAGCACAGTTCACGCACCAGTGTAAAGGGAAGGCTGTCATTTCAGAAATACAGACTGCAGTCAAAATTTTCAGATTCTTAGCAGAAAATGAGAGAGACTCTGCTCAACAGTTAAGGCTGGTAAAGCACCGGGGTCAGGAGACAAGCAGTTTGTTTGCTTCCTACCTAGCTGGGTTCAACAGAGCATGATGCAATCGGATACCAGGGTGGTGCATTCAGAGGTAATCAAAGCTGACAGATCTGGCTGCAAAATAATGCCAGGTTTGAACTCTGCCAAATCTCAGCAGATTGCAACTGGCCAAAAAAGCACCTACGCAATCCCCTGGAATACAACTCTGCCAAGTTTGAATTTTATTTTTTTTTCTAACAGTGTCTGGGCAGAAGAGCTTCTAAAAGCAGCCTGGGGCGAGGGAAGGAAAGATCAAACACATTCATCGGCTTAACTGTAGGGGTTTTCTTCATTAATACAATGTGCCCCACCTACGTAGTACCTGATTGTCTCTGAAGCAATGCTAACAGCAATATTCTCCGAACAATATCCCCCACTGATACTATTAAAGCAAGCAGAACAGTCCGCACATTTTTCAATGCATATGAAACCTATGTAATGAACTATAAAGGCTCTTCCTACAATTTTCAACTCAGTGACACAAAGAAGCTCCTGCTAGACAATAACACCCACGAACTTATATGACAGACCTCTGGCAACAGCAAGGGACCAGATTCTCAGCACCAGGATTCCTTTTTGCCCTGTATCCCTCATCAAGCTCTGTTTTCAAACCTGTTTCATGAAATCAATGCAAACATATGCAAAGATGTATTTCCATATAAGTTCACCCTAACCAGAGCAATAACCAGAAATAATTAATTTTTTAGATTATAACTGCCTACACACAAAATTTAACTGATTTAAGACCATATCAGCACTTCACATTCGCCATTTATCTGTGCTACCACTAAAAAAGAAGTCCCTCTTCTGGTCATTCAGCTGTAACGTTTTTATTGCACACTGCAATTTCACAAACGAAAGTTAGATGTACCGAAATACCTTATAAAAATTTAGCTGTATATCCACTACCAGCTGGATACAGTAGTGAAACTACCTCACCAACATTACCATGCTGCTAGAATTCTAAGGGAATGCCATGCTTACACTGACTTTTCCAACGTTTTGGAAAAGTTTACTTCCTTCAGCCCCAAGCCTGTTTGTAAGCAAAGCCTGCAGTCAGGCTCCGAGGCTCCCAGGACTATGGGGAATTTACTGCCTCCCAGCAGCACCTTACAAACGGAAAACTTTTTACAAAATATATCAACAGCCTAAGTTTGACCACGGGTGAAATTGCCCACCAGTATGTCAAAGATGATCTGTGAACGACTGAAATTTCCAAGTATTTTCGCGGTGGCCTGCAGAAAGCGGGCTGGTCACAGCTCTGCCCTCTGCTCCCAGCAACTTCCGCCAATGTCCAGGCTCTTCTGCAACTAACATGCCTTATGCTTGCAGATAAAGATGCGAATCACAAAGAACAGCTCCTGCGTCTTACAGAGCAGGCCCCCACAAGAGGGAGTACAAAACTAAAAAGCTCAGCCCAAACCACGGCTGCCAATTGTTGGCAGGAAGGTAACCGGCGACGCTTCGCTGCAGTCTCCCATCCCGCCATACCTGTGATAGTTCCATGCACCTGTGTCCCATTCTTCAGCTCAATGGTCACAGTCTCGTGGCTCAGCTTCATCAGAAACCTAGGAATTTTAAGAAAAAAAAATAAATTGTTCACTCCCGCATAAACCCTTAGGCGTTCAACACCCTTTGCAAGCATTCACAGACCCGGCGACGCTTCGCTGCAGTCTCCCATCCCGCCATACCTGTGATAGTTCCATGCACCTGTGTCCCATTCTTCAGCTCAATGGTCACAGTCTCGTGGCTCAGCTTCATCAGAAACCTAGGAATTTTAAGAAAAAAAAATAAATTGTTCACTCCCGCATAAACCCTTAGGCGTTCAACACCCTTTGCAAGCATTCACAGACCCCGAGCTCCCACAGACGGCGTTCCC